GGGTTAATGAGATTGGGGGGGGGGGGGGAAATAATAAAGCAGTGGCACAAGAAAAACATTCACTATCTACTAGACTGTTGGGGAATGTATTGTGTTTAGTGATGTCTCTGTAGAGCTTTTCCTCTTCAGTCAGTAATGTATTGTCATAGGAGCCAAGTGAATATCACAGGCCAGTGTCGTGTTCAAAACAACCAGGGCTGATTCCTCAGTCCAGCTGGTTGCCCACAACTGACCTGAGTGGTCACTCTGAACTGGGTGAAACCGATGGATATTTGCTCCAAAACTGATTTACATGTATGTGAAGGAGCAGGAAAGAGGGGGAAGGAACTTCCACAGAGCTATTCTTACAGCTTTATGCACCCCTTGGATCTAGTACCCTGCAAATAAGAGTTCTTGCAGTGCTTAAAATTAAAAAAAAAGAAATCGTAAGCAATCAGTTACTGTCACAGGTTCAATTTTTGTCTCCCATGCAGAATTAAATTCCCTTCCAGACATACATTTTGTTAGCTCAATATCACAAGTACTTTTTCACGAGTTTACAGCCCGTGTCCCTCTCCAATCCGCTGACCGCAATCACTTGAATTATATCCAGCATTTACTGCAAGTCGCTGCTCTCCCAGAACCGTGTAGCTCTCTTACCCCCTAGTGGAAGTGTTTGTCATGAGGATTTTATGGAGCCCTTTTTGCTCCGTCAAGGATCAGACCTCCTTGGTAAACATCATCTTGAGGTTGCCATTGTGTTTAAAATACCACAGCATCTCCCTCTGACTGTGTAGGATCTTGTCATATTTCCTCGTTGTTTTCTCTCCGTGGACTTGTTCACCAAATTTGTGCTGTCTTATGGTTTTTTTTTAATCATATCTAACTTTATAGTTCCATCTTCCCCATGCTCACCAAATTTGTGCTGTCTTATGGTTTTTTAAATCATATCTAACTTTATAATTCCGTCTTCCCCATGAAAAAGACCAGATATCAATTTTTTTCTAGCCTAAGGCACAACTTAAATACGGTTTCTTCACAGTTGCTTAGATAGGCCAGAGAGTTTATGTAAGTTGCTCCTCATCTTAGGCCTTTACTAAATGTAGGAATATATATATTTTAATATATATTTTTAATATCTATTTTTCTAGGCATTCTATATTTCAAACAGTCTCAAGAAGAAATTGATGCACACCTAAGAGAAGGCTGAAATTACTTGACTTGAATTTGGTTTTGATTTCAATTGTTGCGGATAATTCCTGTTCTTACTATTAAGAGTTAAAAAAAAAACAAACCAGAGGCACTGAACTTTGGTGGCTTTTCCCTCCTCCGTCATTTAAATAATAATTTCAGCTTCAGGAAATCGAGCATAAACTAAATACAAAATTCATTTATTTCACAACATTTCAGGAGGAGGGATGGGACTTCCATAGAGAAGTTTCATACGCTCTCCGTATCAATGGTAGTATAACAACGGTGTTCCTCATGATTATAATAATTTTCATTTCAATGAGCCTGAGGTATTAATGCTCTGAAGATTTGCATGCTTTTTTTTTTTTTTTATAAAAAGCCCTGCATGGTCTCAAATGTTCAAAGCAGCAGATAGGGTTGCAAAGACATTTTCCGTGTACATTAGCATTGCTGATCAAATTTAGATGGCTCTCCTGCCAGAAATGTCTCAAATATGCCTTGATTTTAAGCCTTTGGGGTCAGTGATTCAGTCCCTGACTCTGAAAGCAAACACATCACAGGATACTTTTCAAAAATTAATGATATTTAGTCTATAATTGTCTTTTTGTTCCCGATTTCCATATTGGGTGACTTTCACAGTGCTCATTAGTCTAATTTACAAACTTCCTTGTGGTTTGCAGCGAAGACAAGGTATGTAGTTTTGTGCCACCATTGTTCCCTGCTTTTTTTTATCTCTGCTCTGCCACCCATTTCCTTATAAACCGGATTAATTTTCATTAGAAACTTTGTGGCAAGATTGGGAGGTCAAAATAGGCAAGTTTCTGCTGATGAGGGCTCCAAAGGCTCCGCCTTCTGCTTTTCCATAAAACCATAAGCAAGAATTTTATCTACAGGACTCTGAATTATCTGAATATATTTCACTTTCTGCTTAAGTTTATGTAAGAGTGAAGCTGTTATATCTATTTTTTTTTTTTAAGAACTGTTTGGGTTTTTTGGCTTTGCTAAATATTTTGGTAGGGGCTTAAACTGTGGAAAACCAAATGCTGCTCCGAATTTTTTAATTGCTATTTATTACTTTCCTGGCCTAGCAAATGAGAAGATTGGAGACTGAAACCTATTACAGAATGGGCTTGCAAAATACCATTTTTTGTGTTCTTAAACAGCGCTATTAAATGGTTTATTAGCGTAGGGCTTGTTTTCTACTCCGTGTGTGCAGTTCACAGTTAATTGCAGGGAAGAATTTGCAAAATACAAGAGTTCTGAGAATTTTTCATGCCAAAAATCTTGATCGAAGGCCAGGAACCTTTACCAGCCTTTGTAAACTGACCCAGAAAGAGAAATGAGACAAACAGGATCTGTAAACAAAAATCACGTGCTCTTCACAAATACATTTTGGAAGGATGGTTGCCCGGGGAAACAGGAAATGGGGAATTATACAACAAACAAAAAGGACTGCCAAACAAATTTGCTGACCTTTTTTCGGGGAATTATGACGAAAACTGCAGGAATCCTCAGTATTTCACCATATTTCTTAATCTGAAGGTGGAACAGAAGAATAGCTTGGTAATTACACCGCAACTCTTTAGAAAACACAAACTTCCTTGACATCTCTATTCTAAAGGAAGCAATGCGAGGTTGTCAGCTATGTCATATTTTTTTTTCCCCCAGCTTTTTGCAATTAAGTTTTCTGGAATCGGTGCTTCCTTTTACGGATGAGATAATAACAAAATCACCCCACTGATATCTACAAGGATCATCTAGCTCGATGTTGAGACATTTTGGTCATGGTTTCTGAGCTGGTATGCTCCCAAATAGTCTGTCCATACTTTTTTCTAGGAAATGGTGGCTCTCAGGATGGTTTTTGTGCTTCCCAGGAGTCACAAATAGAAAAGGAAGAAGAGAATTTGCATTGGAGTTGTCCTTAGCAGGGAAGGAGTCAGCCTCTGGGTGATACATTGAGGCTTTGAGCAACTTGGTCTGGTGGGAGGTGTCCCTGCCCATGGCAGGGGGGTTGGAACTGGATGATCTCTAAGGTCCCTTCCAACCCAAACCATTTTATAATTCCATGTTTCTTCTCCTCCTCCCTCTCACCCTGCTTTGGAGGGCACATCCAAGAAGCAAATTGTTTGCTTGGTGACTGTGCCATTTCAGTTTGAAGTTGTGGTAAATAACGAGATCGCTGTGGAGGAGAGGTCATAGAAAATACCAGCTTGGGATCACTCAGTCCCAAGTTTTGGTTTGTTCAGAAAGATGAAGAGGTGAAAGTAATTAAAAGGAAGAAAATGGGCAAACTAAATAGTGATGTTAAGCTTAAGGCACGCTTTATCCCAAAATACCAGAGGTACTGATGTGAAATCTGATGTTTGTGCCATCGATATTAGAAAATCTGCTGAATTGCAGGGGAGGGAAATACATTTGTTTGATGCTTGATCCCTTCCTGTATCCTCTGTTGTTTTCAGTCTGTAATCATTTTATTTTTTTTTCATTTTTTCCAGTTCCGATGACAGGTTTCACGCAAAGGGCTACCATTGATCCAGAACTGAATGAAATCCATGTCTTGTCAGGGCTCAGTAAAGACAAGGAGAAGCGGGAAGAGAATGTAAGGAATTCCTTCTGGATTTACGACATTGTGAGGAACAGCTGGTAAGTCAACGAAAGGGGTGCTGTTTTCAACATCCACACTGATTTCCTTTAGAAAACAACCCTATACATGATCTTGGTCTCCCAGGAAGTCTTAAAACGTGGAATGGTAATGTTGAAGACAACTGAGTTCCCTTGAGGCACCTCTTTTTCCTCATAGCCTTTAGAGACACCATGGAAATAAGCCAACTGAGGAGAGAAATCATGTGAACTTCTTTACTGGAGGCAGGTGGAGTAAAGAGTGGAGCAGGTGGAGAGGATGAGGGGAAGTAAGCCTTTATAAGAAGTTTTTCCTGTAGGAATCCTGTGAACTTCTTTACTGGAGGCAGGTGGAGTAAAGAGTGGAGCAGGTGGAGAGGATGAGGGGAAGTAAGCCTTTATAAGAAGTTTTTCCTGTAGGAAATGTTCCAAGGCCAGGATTCATCATCAGTGCAGCAAATTTGTAGAATCATAGAATGGTTCGGGTTGAAAGGGACCTTAAAGATCATCCAGTTCCAACCCCCCTGCCCTGGGCAGGGACACCTCCCACCAGACCAGGTTGCTCAAAGCCCCATCCAGCCTGGTCTTGAACCCCTCCAGGGATGGGGCAGCCACAGCTTTTCTGGGCTATGTCTTCCAGTGCCTCATCATCCTCACAGTAAATGATTTCTTCCTAGTATTTAATCTAAGTCTCCCCTCTTTGAGTTTAAAACCCTCGTTCTATCTCTCCACTCACTGATAAAGTGAGTTGTTAATGGTAGCACACATGATACTAGTTATTAGAAACTAAGGACACTGTTCTGCTGTATGAATATTCATGGAGAAGTGCTCAAGCTGGATCTGTCAGCGCTTCGCAAGCTGCAGGCGATGGTACTTCAGCTGCTGGAGCCCATATTCTGAGAAAACATCTCCTCGTGTGTTTGCTCTATGGTATTTGGTAGTTGGTTGCCACTGCCCCTTTCCAGAGCTGGCAGCGTTTTTGTGTTCAAGGTCTCCTCTAATGTGGGGCCAATCACTTTGAAGGGTGTGAATGCTGTTTGTTTTTTTTTAAATGGGGTTTCAGTTGGAAAAAACAACTTAAGCCTGTTTGGAAACGGGTGACTAAAGTGCTGGCTGTGCTGAAAAATCTGACCTATAGCTCTACTCTGTCCAAGACTTTATTCTCCGTGTTGAAAATATACATTCTGGTAGCAAATAGTGGAACATCTAAAGCTTCCTCCAAAGCTCATGATATGAAATTTTCTAGAATTTTTTCCTGTATGGCTAAAGAGTGATAGGGCATTGGAACAGGCTGCCCAGGGAGGTGGTGGAGTCACCATCCCTGGCTGTGTTTAAGGGCCGTTTAGATGCAGTGCTAAGGGACATGGTGTAGGGGAGGACTTTGTAGAGTAGGGTAGATGGTTGGACTCGATGATCCCAAGGGTCTCTTCCAACCTCAATGATTCTATGATTCTAATACAGGACAGTATATAGAGAAATAAGAAAATCTTTGGGTTTATATGCCAAACAGTTCAAATTCACATGATTTCTACCTTATAGCCTTTCAGTAAGTTTCTTTGCTTCTTGTAGGTACTACTAAACATTACTTACTGCTCTGTATTTCAGGTCTTGTGTCTATAAGAATGACCAAGCAGCAAAAGAGAATCCAGGTAAAAGCCTTCAGGAAGAGGAGCCCTGCCCAAGGTTTGCTCATCAACTGGTGTATGATGAGTTGCACAAGGTATGAGAGTGCAGATATATCTATCTTGATTTTTTATTTTTTTTAATTTTACTGCTCTTCTGGTGTAGTTGCTTCTTCAAAGATTCTACAGTGTATATAACTTTCTGTATAGTGTTGATGTGGTGGGTAACATTATTTAACTTACCTTTTGAAATTAGGTGCTGAGCTACTTTTTATGCCAAAGTGAAGTAGATATGATAGGTCCTAGATAAAATAAAAATGCAGACAATGGAAGATACACATACTAAAGCTCTACAAGTTGTCAAGAGGCTGGCTCCTAGCTGTTCCTTTACTTGAGGACACTTGAAGCTTTGTTCATTGTCTTCAAGAACTTAATCTCACAACCTGTTAGTGACTAAATGGTCATAGGGTTACCAGCCTTTCCAGGAGAAAGTGTGTTTGAATGAAGTAATCACCATTAAGAATCTGCTCTGAGAGAGGTGCCTTGCTTTGCCCTGTCTGTCAGAAGCAACTGTCGTTCTTTAGCATTGTCTGACTTTATGGACACCTTCACTTTTAATTGTGCATAGTGTCCATGACTGCTCAGTAAACCTAGGGTTTTGTGCATGTTAACCCATAAAGCATAAACCCATGGATTTAGGTTACTATAACTTCATTAACCTATGAATTTAAATTACCGTGACGCACTTTCTTAACCTTTCACAGATGTTCCACAATTGAAATAAATTGTTTCTAAAATTTGGTTTTTAGTCTGAAACAGTCTGAGCTGAAAAAAGACAAATATACTTTAGTCTTAATCGTTCCATGGGATGTTAATCAAATTTGGGAAACCCAACTATAGCCCAAAAGTCTGGAGATGGGAGGGGATTTTAAGGAAGAATGGGTACTACTTCTGTGTGGAAAACTTGGATGATTTGTCTTCCCTCGTGGACATTAATGTTGGATGGTAAATACTGTTCTGCCTTTAATGGCTCAATTCTAAGAGTAAGGTGCCATGAGATTGAGCGTAGTATTTTACAAGTTGCTGTGAAGGTTGCTAAACCATGGCAGCTGCCCAGCTTTATCTGAAGAGCTGTTTGATGTACTTGTTTTGAAGAGTCTTATTTTTAGAAACCTCTGTTCAAATGACCTTTCTAAACTCCTCTGGTATAAATAAGGAGAGCCTACATCAGTGGGATGCGGAATACATTGTTTTGAGTGATTATTTTTAAAGCTGTAGAGAAAGGTAGCCCGTTGGACTTCTTGAACCTCAGTATTTGAAGACCCTTTGTGGCATGTTCAATATCAACAGTCTGAAATGCCAAATGATGTTAAGAAAAATAAAAAAGGTGAATAAATAAACAGTCCTTTTTCAACAGTTCCACTTTTCTCGAGATTTGTAAGTCCAGCCTTTCGTTACAAAGGTGTTTTATGCTGAAATTATCAGAATGGCTGTTAGACTTCTTCACTTGTTCTACCTTGTAGAAAAAAAAAGGCATTTTGTTTATACTAAATATTTCTGTGATAAGCATCTCAGAATGAGATACTAGAACTTCTTTTTAAGACAATCACAGTAATGGCTGTGATTTCTGATTCTAAGTAAGATTGGTCTTTTCTTCCTCAGTTCTTCTTAGCATTGTTTTTTTGTTTGTGTTTTTTTTTTCCCCACTTCATTCAGTTAACTCTTTCCTTTGTGCCCAGGGTAGTGGTTTGAGGGTGTTGCAGCGAAGCTGCTGTGTTGAGGTGAGATAAACCTGCCCTTCCAGAGACCAGGGAAATATTTTTCTCTAAAAGTCAAATTAAAGCTCTGTAAAGTTGTAGGACGTGTGGGGACATACACCTGTTGGTCATCTCCCAAGATTATGCTGGACTGGGCTTATTGTCACTTTTCTTGAGCATCTTTAGAACTTTCCAGCTCATGTTGCCAGTGGTCCTTGTCTTTGGGGAAGATAATGGTCTTTGCAGCCTTGAGGAAGAGGCTGTTTGTCTGAACTGTGGTGCTTTAGTCATGGACTTTCACCATGCTCTGACCGGAGCCACAGCATTAGTCTACAAAGTCCTTTTTTTTTCTTGAGTCTTCCTTAGAAGCCATAAATGTTTCTTCTTCAAAGGAATCTGTGATTGCTGGGGTCACCTCACAGTTATATAGGTGTAATCTGCTCATCCCCAAATTAGAGAAGGGTTTAATACAGGTGCCTTAATTTAGCCTCTCATGACAATGAGAATTTGGAGCCTTTGAGGACCAGATTGGAGAAGAGGTTTGAGTATTGTTTGCATCAAGTATTTTGAAGAGGACAACAAGAGTTGGCTCAGATCCTTCTTTTCTGCTCCTGTCTTACGTTCTTAAGGATTTATCATGCTCATAGGTTCTTCCTAAAGAAAGAGATCGCGTGGTTTGTGGATGTTTGTTTATAAATATCTCAGGAATCTGCTAGAGGGAGGTTCTATCAGTGCAGCTTTTTAATTATCTTAAAATATAAACAGTTTAAGTGAACTTTCTTCATCTCCTAGGGGACAAAATAAGGCTCATAATAAGATGGTGCAGCTTGTCAAACAGGCATAGTTTTCTCCCTCCAGGATAAACCTCTCCAAAGAAAATATAAACAGTTTAAGTGAACTTTCTTCGTCTCCTAGGGGACAAAATAAGGCTAATAATAAGATGGTGCAGCTTGTCGAACAGGCATAGTTTTCTCCCTCCAAACATTCTGACTTAATAAATAGTCTTTATTTAGCAGATAGACACAAACAATCAACTTTTTGATCTGCCTCTCATTTGCTTAGGTTCATTACTTATTTGGAGGGAATCCTGGGAAGTCCTGCTCTCCGAAGATGAGATTAGACGATTTCTGGTCTCTGAAGCTCTGTCGACCTTCAAAGGAATACCTGCTAAGACACTGCAAATACCTCATAAGAAAGCACAGGTACAGAAACAAAACTTGTTTTTGCAATTTTCTTTTCCAAAGTGTTGGGTTTTTTTAAGTTGCTAAAACTTGGGATATCTTGTAAACTCTTTTGGGAAATGTCACGTCGTTGGTTACATGATGGTCTGCAGGTTTCTTGATTATTTTTAATTTTTAAAAGAATAGTTTAATAATAAAAAGCAGTGGGGCAGGGCTAAACTACCAAGTTAATTTCATTCTGTTTTTTACGATGTTATTCTAAAACCAGAAAAATCTGGCTATTGTGTGGGGAGTTGTGGGGAATTTTTAGATTCCCTTCTCACTCTGCTGCTCATCAACATGTGTTTTGGTGCTGTCACCTCCCAAGGAAATGGAGTATGTTTCTGAAACACTGTGCTGAGAGATAGTAACAGCTCGCAAAGATGCTAATGAAGTCTGGGGGCTGGATTCCTTTGCACATCTGAAACTCAACCGCAGTGAGGTCGTCAAGAGTTTCTCATTCAGAATCCCTTGAAAGATCTCACTTCGTGCAGAATTCAGCTACGCTGTGATGCTTCTTGCGCTCTGGATGTTTCAGAGCTGCCTTGTATTTGCTATTTAGAGCAACGGCTTTTCAAAATCAAGCTTATGGTGTTGCCTTAGGCAAGAAATTGCAGCAGCGAGACAGCCTTTCAAGACCCAGCAAATGATCTGAAGCCAATAAATAGCTCTTTTCTGCATTCTTGGTGAGAATACTTCGTTACTGCGTTCTGCCAAGAGTTGGAGGCTGGTTTTTACTGATGGTATTTTACTTCTGAGGTGTAGTAGGTGAATTGCTGTCCTCAACTCAGGGTCACTGTGGCTGGATGACGCATTTTGCAGGTTACCCATGGCTTGAATACCTACAAGAACAAATAAAGGTCTTGCCCACTAAACTGAAAGGCATATAACCCATGAATAGTTATCCCTGGAAGTGTTCAAGGCCAGGCTGGATGTGGCCTTGAGCAACCTGCTCTAGTGGGAGGTGTCCCTGCCCATGGCAGGGGGTTGGAACTAGATGATCTTTGAGGTCCCTTCCAACCCAAACCATTCTATGATTCTATATGTAAATGTGGCTGTACAGCCCCCGGTGACATCTCTGGATTGCTTGTTTTCACTGGCTTAAATTGCACTCAAAGGAGATGTTGCTGCATATTATCTGGCAGAAATTTGGGGTTTATTCACCGTGCTCCCATTTGTTGGGGTCCATTTTAAGGAGACTAACGTGACCAGGCAGGGAATGGTGTGATGGGTGCTTTGCTGGAGGTCATGTGCCTCTCTGGGCTGGAGGTGAACTGCTGCAGAAGCACGTGGCTGCTCGTTGTCTGTACTCACAGAATGGCAGAGGTTGGAAGGGACCTCTGGAGATCATCTAGTCCAACCCCCTGCCAAAGCAGGTCCACCCAGAGCAGGTTGCACAGGAACATGTCCAGGCGGGTTTGGAATGTCTCCAGGGATGGAGACTCCACCACCTCTCTGGGCAGCCTGTTCCAGTGTTCTGTCACCCTCAGTAAAGAAGTCCCTCCAGCTCTAGGTACCACAGCAGGTACTTGCTTTGTGGAACCAGCAAATCCACCTCATCAGCTGGAGTCCTGTTTGACCTGTTGACCTGTTTCGTACCAGTCAGCCACAGCAGAGCTCAGCTGGCCAAGCACAGACAAGCAAGGTCTCAATGGTGCCACTTATTTAAGGTACCTCAGCTCTCCTGAGCATCACCATGGAAATGTCATCTAAGAAACTCTCTGAATGTTTGGAAGAAACAACATTTAATTGCCAAAATGTGGTGTACAGCCACAGTCTTCATGCTCTGTGCACTGGCTTCAATGACTTGCATCTTTAAACGATTTCAAAATTTGGGCTAGAGATGTCCACTACAGTATAAATCACCAGGTGGATGATCCAAATAAAAAATAACAATAGGGTTAAATCTCTCAAGTGTGATTTCTTTCAGTTTGACAACCTGTACCCCTTTAAAGGTAACTGAAATATATTATGAATACAATATTTTGCGTTCCTGTAAGGCAGTTGATACAAGGCTGAGATACAAGTAGCTGAGAATGTGGGTTTTAGAGTCCTCATCTCTGGAATCCAGAATTGTCCGTGCTGTTTTCATGGGAAGGCTTAATCCTGTGTGTTGGTGATTCAGAAGATGACAAACAGTGTGATGCTGCACTCGGGGGATTGATGATGGGGGGGAGAAAAGAGGTAATTTTAAAAACCTCATCCTTTCTAGGCTTATGCACCCAACTCCGTGCTGCAGGGAAGTAGCTGTGGTCACTGAGGATGCTGAGCCCAGTATTGTTTTCTAAGGGCTCTGTTAACTTCTTCAGGGAGTTTACAGTTTGTATGTGTTAAAAGAAAATGGGAAAATAGTGGTGGTGGTGCACAGGATTTTATGTACACGTGTTCTTTCCAAAGGGTCCCTTCCGGCCTGGGCAATTCTATGATTCTATGATTGTTTTCTAAGGGCTCTATTAACTTCTTCAGGGAATTTACAGTTTGTATGTGTTAAAAGAAAATGAGAAGATAATGGTGGTGGTGCACGGGACTTTATGTACACGTGTTCTTTCCAAAAGTGGGATATTAAGGCACGGTGTTCACTGAATCCAGAGGTTTTCACCCCCATCTGGCAGAAGCAGGGAGCCTTCTCCATCCCTGTACTTCTAGGAATGTAAATATCCCTGGGACTGGAGCGCTCAGGGCTTGCCTGGTTTGAACTGTGCTCCTCACAGGAGGTGCTACTCATACCTTACTTTATTTGTGGAAAACAAACCCTACTAAATGTTTTATAATTATGTGTTTTGGTCTGGCTTAAAAGCAGGTACTCCAGCAAATACGCGGCCAAGCTGCCATTAACATTGTTTTATTTGGAAATGTTTGGCTGAAAGTTCCATTTGATAGGGCTTGTTCTTTGTAGAAATAGTAGTATTTAGTGCTGAAGGAAACGATTGAGCTCATGTTTTCTTGTCTCCTCTTTGTAGGTTTGAAGAAAAAGCTCAGACTGACCCTCTCAGTGCACTGAAGTACCTGCAGAATGATTTGTATGTGACTGTGGATCACTCAGACCCCGAGGAGACAAAAGAGGTAGTGATGAAGCATCTTTGTCGTACTTATAAAGAAATGTAAACTGTGTTCCCAGGTGGAAGCTTTAAGCCTCTTAAATCTTGGTTTTATTCAGTTTTAAAAAGCCCTACAGGTCCATGACACTTTGCTGTATCGTATATTTCTCCGCGCTAACGATCTTACTGCTTTAGAAACAGTCATTTTTACAACTGCAATTCCAGATAAAATAGGTTTTGTACTCATAATAGCAAAGACTAGGCTTTTGTTTTAATTCCAATGTGCTGGTGTGTATTTTGGGAGCTTTAATTGAAATGTAAACTCCCTGAAATGTCACGAGTCTGTAGCTGGGTGTGCGGTAGGAAGCGAATAGAAACTCTTACTCACGCTGCCTTTTGGCTTGTCAATATTAAATAACTCTGGGAGAGGGAAGGAGGTTTTTCTCTAGATGATAGGTATTTCTGGAAGTAGGTTGTATATACACATTGCTCCCTAACCTTAAACTCTTACTTCCTCTGCCTTTTGAATATTATCCATTAGGCATGTCCATTTTATTTGTTCCAGGAATTTGTTCCCATTTCCTGTTTTGATTCCATTACTGCAGGACGTGTCACTTCACAGAAAGAATTAAAGAAATAGTGAAAAGTGTCAGATAAGGTGGTTGATTTGACTCTGCCATTAATTTCCACATGGAACTTGGGGCAGGCAGCTGGATGTACAAGTGTTCAGCTCCCTACGGGAAGCTGAGGAAGAAGAAACTGTGGTTCTTACTCTCTTCTTGCATTAATGACTTGGGAAGTGATTCGACAGCTCCTTTTATAAAACTGAGATAGAATAATGGGTGCTGTTATTCCATGCTGAGTCTCTGGATTAACTAACTTAATTTGTTGGGTTTAACTTGTTACTTCAGATAAAGAAAAGATCATTATACAGGCACTAAAGCTGTTGAGGGAGAATATGGTCCTTGCGTGTGCACGGTATAGAATTGTAGGGTTAGAAGAATTGAGAAAAAAAAATTACTCCTATCAGGGTCTTGGAACCAATCACATTTGTCATAAATCCTAGTTAGTCTTTATAAACATCTGGTCCAATAAAACGTTTAAGTGCAGTGCCTTAAATTCCCTGTTAGATGGTTTCTCATTTAAATTGTCCCATATCAAGTAGTTTCACATCTTTCCTACACATTTCTTGTATAGAAAAGATAGATAATGCTGCTTTTCTTCAGGTAGAAAAGGAGATTTTATTTTTTATTTTATTGTTTTTTAACCCATTCAGCATGTTTCAAGGAGCCTCAGCCCAATTATGCCCCATCTTCCCAGTGTGGGAGCACTTTCCTTGTCCTATTTGAATCTCTAATAATCTATAACATACAACAACCATTCTGATGCTCTCTTCTCCCTTTCTTCTCCCTCCCACCCACCATGAGACCATGTCCTGTGTTCTCTGATCTCCCTTTGTCTCCGTGTCATACCTGGGTGCTGGTATCCCCATCATGTCTATGAAGGCCATGTCTCTCTTTGGCCACCTTCTCCCAGGGAGATCTTGCATCTCATGGCTGGCTGTGCCTTTTTATTGCTTGAATAGAAAATATTTGTGGTGTCATAGACAAGCTCCCCTCCTTTTAGTTCTTGCTGCCTCCTGTCACCAGCAGACCAAAGGAACTGCTGTAAAAGCTGCACATCTGACACAGGAAATATTTAATTTTCTATATTTGATATTCCCAGTTCGGTATATATAGTATTTAACTTGTCCACCTTGTAAGAATGAAGAATTTACCTGACTGCACGGAGTCCTCTGAGGTTTTGGGGAAAAGTACTAGCTTTATCATACAAGGCAGAAATAGAATAAAATGATAAAAAAAAAAAAAAGAATTATCCCTTTTCACAGAACATAGTAGTGTTCTGCACTTTAATGATTTGGTGTATGAGCTCCATCCAGCTGAGTGACTATTTTGTGAATCCTATCTCTGCAGCCCTAATGTCTGATCCCAACAAAATTCAATAGCTTCTGTCCATCATACCGGTCTGAACCGTTCAGCAGAACTAAAGCTTCAGTTCCAGGAGTCTCCTAAAGTCATTTAACAATTCCTGGGAGACTTAATTATTTGGGCTTGGGTTTTTTGCTATGTGGGGGTATTGGTTTGGTTTTTGTTTGGTTTTTTTTTTGTTTTTCCCAAACTGTGTTGATCAAAAACAGAACTGCCAGGTATATGGCGTGGAGCCAGGCACTGCACTGGTACTGACTGGGTGTATTTCCAGTTGACGTCAATTTACCTTCCGGTTATCGCATCGAGTTGGCTTTTTGCTCTGGCCTTACATCTTCCAATAGCTCTGGTGCTTTCCAAGGGACTGACGCAGGAGTTTTGGATTCATTATCAAATTTCAAGCACCGGTTTGATTGTGCATCTCAGCCCAGACACCTACATGCTCTCTCTTTATTTGTAATTGAGATCGTCTTAATTAATACCGAAGGCTGATATTTCTGATCAGCTTGCTCTGTGCTGGCTACAGCCATTGAATGTTTTAAGGCTTCTTAGTGTGGCAAATCTTAAGGGAGCTTTTTTCCCCCCCCTGTTCTTTTCCCTCTTTCCAGGGCAATTGTTAAATTTGGGAAGGACCAAGCTGAATAGGTTTTATCAACAAATTTTTGCTACATTTCTCTTAAAAACTGGCCTGGGTGGCTTCATGTTTTATAGATTGAGATACGGGTAGCGTTGTATAATATTAGAAGCAGGATTTCACGTTGAGGTAAGGCTTTATAATAGAAATAATTTCTTCTAACTTTGTTAGGCAAGTCTCTTCAGCTGTTTGGAGTTGGATGCCAAAGAAAATAAACAGACTGTTCTTGAAACTTACTTTGGCGTTAGCAACCAATTTTGTTTAAAGTAGCGTGAATGATTGACAGTAGGAACATATACCCCCAGATTTTCATTCCTTTGTTGTGAATTTTAGGGGATGTTAATAGGATTATAGAGTGGGGTTTTTTTTTTTTCCTTTTTTGTTATTATAAAGTGAAGTAGGTGCCTGCAAGTAACATCTATTGCATGGGTGCTTGTTTTAGTAGTCGCAGGCTACGTGCCAGCTATGTCTCTGCTGTTGCCCACAAACGCAAATCCAGTTCTCTTGAACTGTGATTCTGCTTGAAATCTCTTAAACCTCGCCAGTGAGTTCAGTTTTTTCAAATCAGTGAATCTTTTGGGTTTTTACAGTTGTGGATTAATAGCTCTGACTCTGTGTAAAGGAAGGTGGATGCCCAGAGCACGTGGAAGTTTGTCCGTGCGTTCTAGTTCACTGACAGATATATAGAGAGATAAAGTTGTATAAAATAACTGGCATTTATTGGTGTAAAAAACTCTGGTGATGTGGGTGTTTGTGACGTCGCGTACACACGGATGTGCATTTGGTGGTAGTTTGGAAGCGGAGGCTTTTAAAGATAAAAGGATGGTCAAAATAGCAAAATCAAAATGAATGCCAAGTTTTGTACTTATGGCGAGGAAAAAATAGGTGCTGTTAAAGGACAAAAAAAGTCAGTATGTCACCTACAAGGCTAAAGGTGGTGTTCTTAGAAGACTGGAATAATCATACTGAGAAAATTTCCACTCGTTTCTATAGAAGAAATGGTTGGACTCGATGATCCCAAGGGTCTCTTCCAACCTGAACGATTCTATGATTCTATGAAATCAAGTCGACACCTTAGTGGACTATAGAAGAAATGGTTGGACTCGATGATCCCAAGGGTCTCTTCCAACCTGAACGATTCTGTGATTCTATGAAATCAAGTTGACGCAAAAAATGGCCACTGCTGCCCAAGTCAAGGAGAGCAAGGTGGTTTTGTACATCAAGATTCATCTACTGGTGAAGCTCAATCCCATGGCTGCTGTAAAACAGATACAAAGCGCAAGCAAAACTCGCGGTATGTTTTTCTTGGAACGTGGCAGGAGAAAGAGCAAGGACCTGGAGGCCAATTTGAGGCCTGACGAGCTTGTAGGCTGAGGCTGGAGGCCCCTGTTCAAGGCCGCTTCATACTTTCCATTCTTAAGACCTTGTCTTTAATAAATTTGCCAGATAAAGCCAGCGGGACCCAAAAGTATTGTTTGAGGCTGCATTAGACTGATATTTCTGAGAAAATTGAAGCCCAAATGGGAAAAATAGTTCTAGGAAGAAGCTAAGAAAAGCCTGCTTCTCTTCTTGGTGTCCTGCTGTGATTCTTTGTAAAGCGTCAGAGTCTGAGTGCTGCAGGAGCAGAGGCTTTGGAGCCAAGGAGCCTTTAGAAAAACAACGAAGAGCTTTCCCAACTTCAGCTAGTGACGGCTCCGTCCTCAAAGAATTTTTGCTGCTCGTTGCTTCTTTGAGCCTGTGCTACCAGGCACCATCCCAGCAGAAGTGGTCAAAGCTGAGGAACTGCTTTAGGCTGGGATCTGAGTAACGACCATCACAGAGGAGGAATTAGATCTGATTCATCCAACCTGCCGGGTACCTCATAAAAGAATTGCTCTTTTCCCCCTGAAAGCAAAAGGCAGAGGCGTGCAGCAAATAGAGTAAAACTTGTATGAGTTGCCACGTGGCACAATTGCTTTTTCTTTCTTTTTTTTTTTTTGCTGTAGGTAGAAACTTAATAAAGTACCTTCAACTGATAATAGAACAATAACATTAGGAACGTGAAGGTCATAAGCTGGAAAACACCAGAATTAATATTAGCCGTGTAGTCTTAATTTAGCCTCGCTGGACGTGGTTGATTATATTAGTTAACCTTATATTGGTCAGCCAGATTTATCTAACTAATGCACCAGGTGTATAACTAATATAACTTTATATTAGTTAACCAGATAACATTTCTCTCTAAGGAACCCCTGCCTCCCTTCAGAGGGTGGGTTGGATCTCCGGGAGAGAAGTTAATTGTGTAACGAAGGGAACTGTTGTCTTTTTGAATAGAGGCTTAATTTGGAAGGGATGAAGCCAGTGAGGCAGAGGGATTGTCAGAAGAGAACGGGTGGTGGTGTGATTAAAGCAGTTGGGTGCTTCTGCTGCATAATTGAATTCTGGTCCTGCCTCTCCAACGGAGTTGCTATGTGACGTTAAGCAAATTGTTTTTCCTAGATGGTCATTAATTGGGTTCTTCGTTCTGGTGCCTGATGGGAGAGATCCGAGGTGTGATTTGCTTGAGGGCTTTGCTCTTCTGGCTGCAAGTGAATTCAGAAGCTGCTGCATAATACTAGGTATTTTGAAAAAATCAGATTCTAGTCGTTTCAAATAGGGGACCCAGAATTAATCAGAATTTGTAGTGCTGTTGTTAGGATGACAATTAAAATGATAGGAAAACTGATGAGGACATTAACTCCTTTTTTAGAGCAGAGTTTGAACTTCAAGAAGAAACTACTGCATTGGGTTTGTGCTGTAAAGGGTGTGTAGGAGACCTGGTCTTGAGAAACCAGTAGCCTTCCTATGCTCTGGAGAAACAGCAGAGGTCCCTTGGGAGAGCATCACAGGGTTTGCTGGCATCGTACTGCAGATGCAGAGAGAACCAGCTGAGGCTCAGTGCTGTTGCACAAACTGATGTTCTTAACTTACCTGCTTGATCTTTCTGTCAGAAGGTGCTTTTTAAACATGAGCTGATGCATAAAATGTAATTTCAAAACAAACAACCAACAGACCTCAAGGTTAACTGAAGTGCAGCACCACCAGGGAAGGAGGAGACAAGATACTCCTTCTCCATGAAGCTGGAAAGCAACTCGTGGCCGTGAAAATCCATCACGCCTCGTGGAATGGAATGGAATACTTGGTGGGGGGGTCTTTTTAAGGGATTTTTGGTGCCCATTGAGCAAATTTAGTAGCTGGATCCTGCTTATATGGTGGGCATCCTGAGACCCAGCCTCAAACATGGCTTAATTTGCACTTGGGTCACAACAACCCCCTTCAGCGCTACAGGCTGGGGGCAGAGTGGCTGGAGAGCTGCCGGGCAGAAAAGGACCTGGGGGTGTTGGTCGACTGTCGGCTGAACATGAGCCAGCAGTGTGCCCAGGTGGCCAAGAAAGCCAACAGCATCCTGGCCTGTATCAGGAACAGCGTGGCGAGTAGGGCCCGAGAGGTGATTGTCCCCCTGTACTCGGCACTGGTGAGGCCCCACCTCGAGTGCTGTGTCCAGTTTTGGGCCCCCTACCATAAAAAAGACATTGAGGTGCTGGAGCGGGTCCAGAGAAGGGCGACAAAGCTGGTGAGGGGTCTGGAGAATAAGTCTTATGAGGAGAGGCTGAGGGAACTGGGGTTATTCAGCCTGGAGAAGAGGAGGCTAAGGGGAGCCCTTATTGCTCTCTACAACTCCCTGAAAGGAGGGTGTAGAGAGGCGGGGGTCGGTCTCTTTTCTCAAGTCACAGGCGACAGGACGAGAGGAAATGGCCTCAAGTTACACCAGGGGAGGTTCAGGCTGGATATTAGGAAAATTTTTTTTCCCTGAAAGGGTTCTCAGCCATTGGACTGGGCTGCCCAGGGAGGGGGTTGAGGCACCATCCCTGGAGGTGTTCAAAAGGTGTCTATTTTTGTCAGTTAGGTTGACGGTTGGACAAGATGATCTTTAAGGTCCCTTCCAACCTAGAAGATTCTGTGATTCTGTAATTTCTCTTTACAGCGGGGTGGCTGGTGGCGTTGCTGGGGGAACCCCTGGAAGCATGTGGCATCCTCTTTGTCCTGGCAGAGCTGGCTTCGTGTGCTACCAGGCAGCTGGCAGCGGGCTCCAAAGGCAATTGTGTGGGAGGGGAAGGTAGCCAGGACGTGGCATTCACTATCAGAAACAGAGCAGATTTTGCCACGGGTTTTATTGGAACTTTTTTGGAGCTATTTATGCTGGGCATCTGTTGAAGGACGTTGCTGATCTGGAGCCAAGCTACTCTGACAAGTTACGCTGGTGCTGAAGCACACGTGCGGCGTTGCGATGCGTTGTGATTTCACACACCCAGACCTCGCACTCAAGAGGGTGCTTACTCAGCCTCTTCCCCCTCTTCTGAAGTTTGTTAACCCTGTATCTTGCCAATGGCATCCTAGGGTGCATCAAGAAGAGCGTGGCCAGTACGTCAAGGGAGGTCATCCTGCCCCTCTACTCTGCCCTCCAGGTGAAGCCACACCTGGAGCACTGTGTCCAGTTCTGGGCTTCCCAGTTCAAGAAGGACAGTTAACTGCTGGAGAGGGTACAGCAGAGGACCACAAAGATGATGAGGGACCTGGAGCACCTCTTTTACGAGGAGAGGCTGAAGGACTTGGGTCTTTTTAGTGTGGAGAAGACCGAGGAAGGATCTGATCAATGCTTATAAATACTTAAGGGGTGGGTGTCAAGAGGATGGGGCCAGTCTTTTTTCCGTGGTGCTCAGTGACAGGACAAGAGGAAATGGGCACAAACTTGAATATAAGAAGTTCCACCTAAACATGAGGAGGAACTTCTTTCTTTTGAGGGTGGCAGAGCCCTGGAACAGGCTGCCCAGGGAGGTGGTGGAGTCTCCTTCTCTGGAGGCATTCAAAACCCCCCTGGACACCTTCCTGTGCAACCTGCTGTAGGTCATGCTGCTCTGGCAGGGGTTTGAACTAGATCTCCAGAGGTCCCTTCCAACCCCATATCATTCTGTGATCTTTCTAACCTGTTCTGAAATCCCTCCAGTGCTAGCTTCATGTGAGAGTCTCCTCAAAAGAGGCAAACTTATCCTGGTCCTTATTTTAGACTGAGGGGTTTTTTTGTGGGTTGTTTTTTTTACCTTGTCATGTTGAAACTGAGCTTGCTGAGACGTTTTCATGACTTCTTGCACTTTGTTGTAGATTTACCTTTTTGTAGCAGCCTTTTACACATGTGGCTTTTTGCAGTTTTGTCCTTGGACGTTCTTCTGTGGAGGCTCTGCAACCCTGACTCATTTGAACTTTCTTTGCAGAGCTTGATTCTCAAACCACTTGTTTTTTCTCTAGTGCTTTCCTCATATGTTCCTAATTGATACAGGGCATCCAAAGGTGGTTGCCCTATTGTAGACAAGACTTACAAGCCTCGATAACAGCAGGAGACTTGACTCATTTGAAGATCCTGCTCCTTTTCATGCATTTTCTATGAGTTTGTCATTTTTGCAGTAGGATGATCCTGATCTGTTATAGCTCCTAAATGTGTTTTCTCTGAGCCTTTCTACCCCAACCTGTTTTGCATAGCTCGTTATGTCTGTTTATGTCGATTTGCACTTGGCCCTAATGAATTGCACCTTGATCCATCATTATAAGCTGGAGGAAATGGAAGAACAGCCTGAAACCTGTCTGTTCCCGTGCTGTCTGTCTGTCTGGACATGGTGTAAGGTCTGTGGACTCTGTGAATGTGCCCTGTTCTGTGAAGCAGGTTATCACTGCAAACCCAGAATGATGCTGACCCTGGGGCACAGATGAATCAGATCTGATTCATGGCTCCATTTTGATGTCAACCCACCAATGGCTGCCCACAGTGAAGTTGTTTGACCCATTTGCCGTTCTCTGTTAGCTTAATCTAGGTGATGCCTCCATAATTTGCCTTAAATATCATACAAAAGCATCAGAAGTCCTATGAAAGTCAAAATGGACAATGTCTATTGCCAAGTCCCCCTCCATAGGGCCTGCTGCCTTGTAGAAGAAATCAGATTGATGTGATACAACTTGTTGTTGCCAAGTCCACGTTGGCTGTTACTCGTCACCTTCACCACTCCCGGATGCCTGCAAATTGTCCATGTTCCCATTTTTTTTTTTCTTAAATTGAAATTAAACTGATGGATATGCATTTCCTGGCTGTTCTTCCCACTCCTTCCCTGAACATTTTTGCTTCTCTTCTGCTTCCCTCCCTCCCTTTCTTTCCTTCAGGCTGTGTGCTGTAAAGACACACAGATAGGAGACAAAAGATTACAAGCCTTTAAGGGATCAGCTAATTCTTTAAGAAAACATGACAAAGCACTAAGCTTTGCTACAATGTGGGTAACTGAAAACAGCAGCTGGGACAGAGGAAGATATTGTGTTCACTGTCTGTCAGTGAGACATTAAAGGAGAATAAAACCGTGAATGTGTTACTTAAAGCGTTTTTATTCATGATTCTGACGTTTCTAAAGAACTAGGTTTTAGTGGGATTTTTTTGTTGGTGGTTTGTTTTTTTTTTTGTTGTTGTTTTGTGTTTTTAATTAAAAAGACGTTTCCTTAAATTTATGATATGAGCTTCTCAGAGAGGTTGTTGCCATTTAAAGCTTTTTCTATGTTTTAGAAGTTCATGCTGCCCTGTAGCAGTTACCCACTTCTTGTCCCCAAAACCGTACCACATTCATCCCTGGGATTGTTGTTGTGTGGAAGAGTCTCTACCTTATTTCTACACTGTGATATCTGCCAGAGAGGCAAAAAAAGTATATATATAAAAAATTAGGTTTTAGGGCTCCTGGTCAAGGGCCTTTCGTTGCATCGATGCCGCTCTAATTCTAGGAAAAACCATCCGACTTGTTCGGCCAAGGTGTCAACTCGTATTGCTCATATGAAAGTGTCTGCTGCTGTTATTCATAAGTGTAGTGCAGAAGTTCTAAGGATTGTGCAAAGAAAACCCAGCAGCTCTCAAGCCACTTGGATTTCTATGAATCTTTTGGATTTTTTCCTGTGCAGTTAATAATGCTGTTTTTCTTTCTTTCTTTGTCCCTCCGCCTCCTCTTCTGCAGTTTCAGCTTCTCGCCTCAGCGTTATTTAAGTCTGGCTCGGATTTCACCACTCTTGGTGAGTATTGTGTATCAGAAGAATTATACTAAGTATGTTCCCTCTGGTAATTACTGTTTGTTCCTACTGTTTTTTTATTTCAAATGTTACGGTTCATATGAATATTGTAGGCCCTTTTTGGTTTGAATATGCAAAGCGCCGCTACGCAGACATTTGAGAGATTATTTATAATGACCAGTGTCCAATGCCTCCAGCCCCATATTTAAAACATCTGTCACCAGTGGTTTTAAACCCGTGCCTCCCGGGATCATTTTCTGTCTCTTATTACATGTGATGCTTCGCTGTTACCCAAATAAACAGAAGCTTTGGTCAGAAGAAAGCACCTCCTGTTATGTCACGTTGGAATCTCACAGCATGGCTACGGCTCTGTTTGCTGTGATAACTGCAATTCCTGGAGTAGTTTGGTTCTCTCTGTTCTTTGCAAAACTAGTTCTTCGGGCAGAATGTCAAGAGCGGAGAAAACGGTGGCGTGTAGGGCTGGAAACAGGAGGCCTGAGCCAAAGCCCTAATTCGTTTCGCTGTTCTGTCCAGTTAACTCTTTGAAATGGTTGGGAGGTTAATCCTGGGCAGGCTGTAGGAAGGCTATAGGCATAATTTACATTCTTGTAACCATGTGTTGTCCTCAAGTTACCGAGCTCTCTCGCTCTGAGTATGGTTGACCTCAGTTTTTCACGAATGTTTGGATGACCTCAGTTTTTCACGAACATTTAATTCCCAATCTAAGGAATGGAGGGAAGGAGAAAGCCCCCTGGGCTGTCCTTGTCCCTCGAAGGTACATCACTCTCAGCCCTGCTGGATGAGGCAGCTCTGCTCAGCTCGTGTGGTTTGGAAGACGTTATCTGGCTGATGCTGTGAGATTAATTTTTTTAAAGGAAGAAAACTCAAGTTTCAGAAAGTTGTTTTTCCCCTAGTTTTAAGTAGTCTGAAAGATGAATTAGTTCCTGGCACAGTACAATACTTTATTCAGTAGTTGGCTTTACAGATAGGAGGATGCATATATCAAGTGGTGCTCCTAAAAGAAAACAAAAAAATCCCCAGCCCTCCTTGATTTGATTAACTTGGTTGACTTTGATTAACTGAAGAGTTGAGTTCACTGAATTAAAAAGCATTCCTTTGAGATACCAGCGATTGAAGTAATACAAAGCAGAGGAAATCGTTGTGTGCCCGCTCTATTGTTCTTGCTGTTGATGGTTTTAAGCATGAGGATTTGGATAAACAAAGCTGCTGCTGGGGCCTAAATCCTCCCCTGTTGGGAGGCGGCACTTCACAAACCTCCTGGGCAAAGAACCTTGTGCCAAGATGCAGCCTGGGTCCTTCCACAAGTCCAGGGATTAAATTAGCAACAATTAAATAGACTTGGGACTCGACCATCAGCAGAACTTGTCTTAAGAAAATACTGCAAGCTCTACAAGTACCAACTCCGGTTAAGACAGTCGTGAAGATAATGAGGAAAGCCTGAGGACAGAAGAAACGAGGCACCAAATAAAAATAGCTACGCAGATTTTTGTTTTCTGGGCCATGGGAGCAGTCCCCTGAGGACTCTTGCTTCCCCTGTTCCTTCAGGACTGTCGATGAGCCTGACAAAGCCGTTTGCCTATTGCTTTTTATGGCATTTTGATTGCGGCGTTGGCTTGGGGTGACGTGATCTCTGGGGGTGTGTGCGTAGAACGGAGGGACAGAGAGCTGGCAACCCTATTAGATGAGGCAGAAGTAATAAATAGTTAACATCACTCCAAAATGGACAACTTCAGCCACTAAACTGAGCATTATCAGGCATTGGAATGGGCTGCCCAGGGAGGTGGTTGAGGCCCCATCCCTGGAGGTGTTCAAAAGACAGGTTGATGTAGTGCTGGGAGGTATGGTTTAGTGATGGTGATGCTTCTTGTTTGTTGTGTGGGTGTCTGTTTTTGTCAGTGAGGTTGACGGTTGGACAAGATGATCTTTGAGGTCCCTTCCAACCTAGAAGATTCTGTGATTTGAAGTAGGGAGCTCTGATTTGCTTTCTCTTTTTCTTCCTCCCCCAGGATTTTCGGACGTTGACCACACGTACGCGCAGAGAACTCAGCTGTTTGATACACTGGTCAACTTCTTTCCGGACAACATGACCCCTCCTAAAGGCAACCTGGTAGACCTCATCACGCTGTAACGAAGCAATCACTGGACACGTGGAAGAGGGGGAAAAGCATCCATTTTCAGTATTTTAATTTTTTTACTGCATTGATTGACTGCTGGGATGAAGTAATATAGTAACCCCTAGGTGTTTGGAAGGGGTTTTATACTTGTATGGTGAATCCCTGAAGCTTTTCCCTTGGAGTAGGTTAATAAAATGTAACTGACGTACTTCCGACTAAATATATATATTTTTTCTGACTTTGGATTTTGAGTTAGCAAATGTAAGATGAAAAGGTGAGGGGAAAGAAAAGAAAACAACAACAATAAAACCCAATCATGCAGTGATTGTTTTTGCCTGTAGGGGAAAATTGAGATTTGTGGGTCGTCTGGAATTCAAAGTGATGGGTTTTATTTTGGGTTTTATAAGAAAGTCTGTGGGGGGAGGTTGTTCTGTGCTCATTTGTAGCTACTCATGGTGCATTGCTTCATCCTGCAACTCCCTCCTCAGCAGCTGAATGACTTGGGGGCAGGACATGGGCACGTGTGGAGGTAACGGTGACGTACGTGTCTCCAGTCTTGTAGTGGCAGTGTGTCACGTGAAGGGGACACACCTAAATGTCCATCTTCCCTTCTCTGGAGCCTTCCACTTAGACCTGATGGTTGAGTGGGAACCTCAGAGAAACCTCTGGAAGACGGGAGCGCGGTCGTCACCTGCACAGGTCCCTTTTCAGGGATCCTTCCGTTTCCACCGCCGTGCTCTTCCAATGAGAAACCCTGCGGGTCCTCACCAAGCCCTGGCAGGACTGGGTCTTCCACCAGACCTACACACCACCTCTGCAGCCTGACCCCAGGTTGGGTGTAGGATTTCTGAAGCTGATTGTCTTTGTTTACGTGCACCGACGCTTCCGTGTGCGTTTGTTGTCAACGTGTCCCTGTAAAGAGGATCTCTCCCAACAGCTTGTCTCCTTCCTACGGAGTGCATCTCATTCATTTCTTGAATGCATTTGAGACCTAGATCTGAACGTAAGGGAGGCCTTTTTAGCATAAATCTCTTTGAAAGCAAGTTGATGCATATGTATAGAAAATATATATTCTTCCTTGCTGAAAGCCTTCTTTATTTATAAGGTGAGAGCTTGGTGCTGCACTATGAAGTGGAATGAAGGATGCCCGTTCCCAGTGTTAGAAACTGCACATTCGGTGCCAGTGAGCATTCAGTACAAACTGGCAGATGTAAATATATAAATATATATATATATATATATATGAGACTGCAAAGCTTTATGTCCGGCAACGTTCATGCCAGGAGGGTGTCGTTGCTGCACCCGCCGTGGCTCCACGACCTCTCCGGGTCTTGATGGAAGTCTTGTGTTTGCAAAGATGATTTGGGCTCTTGAAATAAAGAGTTAGTGAAGTGTCTTTTTTTCAGAGCTGGAGTGTCTGCTTGCTTTGATTGCGTTGTGTCGCCTCTTCATCACGTTCTTTGTGTGACTTTTGTAGCCCTGGTGTGTTAGAAATAAATTTAAGTACTGCGTACTCGGTGTTTAATCGCTCGGAGAGGAACAGTGTGTTAGAGGCTGGGCTTTGCTTCGTCTTCAGGGACTTCAGGGACCCAAACACAGTGTTGGGAAGTAACCTGTGAGTTGAGACTGTTCAGGCATGGTGTACTTCAGCAGGTGGCAAATCGGATGTCGGGGGGGAAAAAATCCACTCTCAGTGCATAGTGCAGTAAATGAAATCTCATTACATTGTTTCTTTGAAACATTGGGATTGTTTTTTCCAGTGAGATGGAAAATTTGACGTCACTGCTGGGCTTTACCGTGTGCTACCTGTGCTGAGGCTTTATTAACTGGTTAAAATAGAGCTTATATGGGTATGAATGGGGTTCCTGGTTGTGCTGTACTGGGGGAATGTTCCAATAGAAGTCTTGTTTCCAGTGAGATTGAACTGGGCGCTTTTAATCAACCACCCAAAATGCTGCAGCCCTCCAGTACGTAAAACCGTAGTCCTTTATCTCTTGATCTCGTTGCCCGGGTGCTCTCCAGCTTCAGTCAGATGATTAGTGGCTTTTTGTGATGGTTTTCTGATAAGCCAAGCTTTTTGTAAACTTTCACGTGGACGTTTTCCGTGACTGCGTGCGAGGCTGAACCCCAAAAGAGTCGCCGAGGCTGCGGATGGTCGAGGTTCAGGAAGGTTCAGGTTCTTTCCGGACAACATGACCCCTCCTAAAGGCAACCTGGTAGACCTCATCACGCTGTAACGAAGCAATCACTGGACACGTGGAAGAGGGGGAAAAGCATCCATTTTCAGTATTTTAATTTTTTTACTGCATTGATTGACTGCTGGGATGAAGTAATATAGTAACCCCTAGGTGTTTGGAAGGGGTTTTATACTTGTATGGTGAATCCCTGAAGCTTTTCCCTTGGAGTAGGTTAATAAAATGTAACTGACGTACTTCCGACTAAATATATATATTTTTTCTGACTTTGGATTTTGAGTTAGCAAATGTAAGATGAAAAGGTGAGGGGAAAGAAAAGAAAACAACAACAATAAAACCCAATCATGCAGTGATTGTTTTTGCCTGTAGGGGAAAATTGAGATTTGTGGGTCGTCTGGAATTCAAAGTGATGGGTTTTATTTTGGGTTTTATAAGAAAGTCTGTGGGGGGAGGTTGTTCTGTGCTCATTTGTAGCTACTCATGGTGCATTGCTTCATCCTGCAACTCCCTCCTCAGCAGCTGAATGACTTGGGGGCAGGACATGGGCACGTGTGGAGGTAACGGTGACGTACGTGTCTCCAGTCTTGTAGTGGCAGTGTGTCACGTGAAGGGGACACACCTAAATGTCCATCTTCCCTTCTCTGGAGCCTTCCACTTAGACCTGATGGTTGAGTGGGAACCTCAGAGAAACCTCTGGAAGACGGGAGCGCGGTTGTCACCTGCACAGGTCCCTTTTCAGGGATCCTTCCGTTTCCACCGCCGTGCTCTTCCAATGAGAAACCCTGCGGGTCCTCACCAAGCCCTGGCAGGACTGGGTCTTCCACCAGCCCTACACACCACCTCTGCAGCCTGACCCCGGGTTGGGTGTAGGATTTCTGAAGCTGATTGTCTTTGTTTACGTGCACCGACGCTTCCGTGTGCGTTTGTTGTCAACGTGTCCCTGTAAAGAGGATCTCTCCCAACAGCTTGTCTCCTTCCTACGGAGTGCATCTCATTCATTTCTTGAATGCATTTGAGACCTAGATCTGAACGTAAGGGAGGCCTTTTTAGCATAAATCTCTTTGAAAGCAAGTTGATGCATATGTATAGAAAATATATATTCTTCCTTGCTGAAAGCCTTCTTTATTTATAAGGTGAGAGCTTGGTGCTGCACTATGAAGTGGAATGAAGGATGCCCGTTCCCAGTGTTAGAAACTGCACATTCGGTGCCAGTGAGCATTCAGTACAAACTGGCAGTTGTAAATATATAAATATATATATATATATATATATGAGACTGCAAAGCTTTATGTCCGGCAACGTTCATGCCAGGAGGGTGTCATTGCTGCACCCGCCGTGGCTCCATGACCTCTCCGGGTCTTGATGGAAGTCTTGTGTTTGCAAAGATGATTTGGGCTCTTGAAATAAAGAGTTAGTGAAGTGTCTTTTTTTCAGAGCTGGAGTGTCTGCTTGCTTTGATTGCGTTGTGTCGCCTCTTCATCACGTTCTTTGTGTGACTTTTGTAGCCCTGGTGTGTTAGAAATAAATTTAAGTACTGCGTACTCGGTGTTTAATCGCTCGGAGAGGAACAGTATGTTAGAGGCTGGGCTTTGCTTCGTCTTCAGGGACTTCAGGGACCCAAACACAGTGTTGGGAAGTAACCTGTGAGTTGAGACTGTTCAGGCATGGTGTACTTCAGCAGGTGGCAAATCGGATGTCGGGGGGGAAAAAATCCACTCTCAGTGCATAGTGCAGTAAATGAAATCTCATTACATTGTTTCTTTGAAACATTGGGATTGTTTTTTCCAGTGAGATGGAAAATTTGACGTCACTGCTGGGCTTTACCGTGTGCTACCTGTGCTGAGGCTTTATTAACTGGTTAAAATAGAGCTTATATGGGTATGAATGGGGTTCCTGGTTGTGCTGTACTGGGGGAATGTTCCAATAGAAGTCTTGTTTCCAGTGAGATTGAACTGGGCGCTTTTAATCAACCACCCAAAATGCTGCAGCCCTCCAGTACGTAAAACCGTAGTCCTTTATCTCTTGATCTCGTTGCCCGGGTGCTCTCCAGCTTCAGTCAGATGATTAGTGGCTTTTTGTGATGGTTTTCTGATAAGCCAAGCTTTTTGTAAACTTTCATGTGGACGTTTTCCGTGACTGCGTGCGAGGCTGAACCCCAAAAGAGTCGCCGAGGCTGCGGATGGTCGAGGTTCAGGAAGGTTCAGGAGGTTCTGGAGGCCAGAAGCTCTGTGGACAGCGTTGGTGCTGAGCCGTGCATCGCGTCAGCCTTGATTTGTGCTATAGAATTTCCATCCAAACTCATCATCCTCTGCGTCGGGAGCTGCGTGCGAAGCCTGACAGCCCAGCTCAGGATTTTTGGTGGGGTTTTTTTTGGAGGTTCTGGAGGCCAGAAGCTCTGTGGACAGCGTTGGTGCTGAGCCGTGCATCGCGTCAGCCTTGATTTGTGCTATAGAATTTCCATCCAAACTCATCATCCTCTGCGTCGGGAGCTGCGTGCGAAGCCTGACAGCCCAGCTCAGGATTTTTGGTGGGGTTTTTTTTTGTAGCAGAGAGTAAATTAATAATTTTTTCTTGTTGTTGAGTGAGGTGAACGTTTGCTCCTGCAGGACTTGGACAACCCCAGCTAATGAGAGCACTTGAGGATGATCAAATATTGACCTGACTTTATCCCGAGCGGATCGATTTCAGCTCACGCGGCTCCGGTTTATGGATTCCAGCTGGTGATTAACCAGCAGAAACTATTTGCTCAGCTCCGGAGCTTTTTGTGGAGCAGCAGAGGCACCCTGTGGCCAGAGAGGTTAATCCAAAGTGAAGGCTTCTTGGGACTTTGCCAAGGGTCTTTCCTGGTTCTGTGTCCTTAGAGCTAGGAGTCAAATTGAAGTGATTTCTTTGCATCGGGGTAACTAATTGCAAATTCTGAGCGGTGAAGTGTAAATTACCTTGCAAAATAAGCCCGTTATTGACAAGTAGTTACAGGGGGAGCTAGAATTTAATTACAGGCAGATCTTTAAAGATACTGGTGGTATTCCAGGAAGGGTGTTAGAGGTGAGCGTTGTGGATATATTGAAGTACAAACACAAAGGAGAGCTTCTTGATCTGAGAGCAGCCACCTGAGGATGTTTCCCAGCAC